GACTTATTCCGGAGGCTCATCCCTACCATTCTTCACATAGTAAGTGTCCCCCAAACCACCATCCCCACCCATTAAGCCAAGAACATAATTTGCAGCTGTAAGAACGTGTCGGGTTCCTTAAATTTAAGCAGGGTTTACCGCATTCATTGAAGTGCATACATATTTAAGCGTCACGCTTTTATTTAACCATTCTATAGAAACTCATCATTTTAACGTTTTGAGCATCAACAACATTAAAAAAATAGGTTATTTCATTCGTTCGACATGATTGTTCCATAGATTGCTGCAATTAATTGACAGACAGTTAAACTTTTTTCCTATTGCATAATATATCTCTGATATATTTCATTTTTTGTCAATATGGTAGGGGCAAATAAACCTTCCAGTAACAACCTCATCAAATTAGGATGACAGATATGAATATTTTTCCGGCAGAACTAACAAAACAAAATGATTATCCGGAAAATAATATATCTCTGATATATTTCCTGTAAAAATCGAACAAAGTGAGAATTAGATTAACATAGAGCACTTTCGGGTGACAGATATATCGGATCTGAAACGAAAGAATTTATTTCTACGAGACAATATACCAAACATGTTTATGGGTGACACTACACGCTAACAATTGGTACTATTAATATAAGGTCAGAATTAAAATGAGTGAATGTCGAGTTGGCGAGGCAGTAACCCCAAAACAGAAACCGAGGTTCTGCCAATGCTCAAGTTTGTTTCAACTGAAGAGGTTAAGTTATTCCTCTACGGTACGACTCGTCCGATAGATTATTATATACCTTAAGTAATATCTTTATGTAATATAGATACAATGAATAAGCGTTGATTCTTCAAAAAGAAACCAGAGGGCGTCATGAATCAACGCTTATCCATTGTATCTATAACTTAAACTATTATGTTGATGTCTTTTCAAAATCAAAGCCTTTTCTTAATTAGAAGGTATTGTAAGTGAGTTTGAATAACCTAGGTATCATGTTCAACGATGCATTACTAAATATAAGATCACAACTAATTGGTTAGAAAAATACAAATATAACATAACACGTCTGTCTTTAAATTATCAGGCATCTGAATATTATCTGTGTTTACAAAATAAGACATATTCGAACTTATTTCTAATAAAATTGAGAATGGAAATGGGGAATGTGTCAAAGAGACAACAACCTGACCAAAGAGCATAATTATATAAATTATATATAATAAGTATGTTTCCGAAATTTCTAGCAAGAAGCCTAATTCTAGGCACATCACGATTTACTCCCATAGGAATTTGCGAATAAACATTTGTAAAATTATGTAGTAAAACGGATGAAATCTTACTATATTTATAAAACAAAAATAGACAAATTGAATGTATTCATTTTCGTTTCAAATATGTGAAATAGCCAAATATAATCCAAAAATAAACCGTTAAACTCACTATTATTACAAAAATATCCACAATTACATACAAAATAAGCAAAAAACAGAAAAACTAAAGAATAGGGACAACAAAGAGAATACAGGGATTCGAACCTAAACCGACAAGTCCCTACCTTTAACTTGACTCTTTAACTCATTGATCTTAACCATGCTAACCTCGAGGCTACCAACTTATATTATACGATTGCCTATTATGTATATATAAAGGTACAAGTCCTGTGTGTACGTTGTACCGATGTATATCATATGTTCATTTATATATATATAATAGACATTTATATTGTAACCAATTCGTAGCCGAGAGGTTTCGTCGATATGTTGATATCAGTCACAAATAACAGATTTCAAGGACGGGTTCGATCCCCAGTAAAGGCATATAAAAATTACAAAAACTAAAGGTAAGTTTTTTAATTAATTCCATTAGTGAACAGAAATCAGTAAATTAGCTGTTCAAACTTAATGAAATTAGGCGCACAAAGGAAACAATTGAATATAATTTGGTGAATCCATTTCAGCGACAGATTTAGAAAGCGTTGATTCTAGAAAAAGAATCCACGGTAAATGAATAGGCTGACGTCACGACAATGGTTTAACATTGTACAATAAACGACACAATCATGACGCGGTGAAATTTTAAAATGTTATGCTATGATTATTAACGACATGTTTTCCTGCAATGTAATTAAAGAAGACTTAAAAAATATTGATGATTTGAAGAAAACAAAACAAATTCGTGCCTATTTCGAAGATTTGCATTGATTTTAGCTGCACACAAATTTTCTCGTCGTAATCTTAACAGATAAGCCAGAACCATAGTTACGTGAATAAGTGAATTTTAAACATATGTTGCTTTCACTGAACTGACAAAGTTTTGAAGTATACCATAAGTACAATGAACAGTAAGATATTATCAATTCTATATTATATGCTAGGACTAAATGAAAATACCTTATAATTCAAGAACCCTTTTTACAGCAATGTAAGTTGACATTTAAATGATAGTGATTTGAAAACAATCGTCCCAGCTTGTTTAGACATTTGGCGGTGATTAAAGCAGCGCAACACATTTCCGATATAATCTTTACAAGTAATGCTATTCTTTAGTTTCGTGAATAAGTGAAATTTTAACATATGTTGCCTTCACTGAGCTGATCGAAGCGTACCAATGTGAAAATGAAATAATACATTTATTTAATAATTATCCATTAGAGACCATCGTAAGTGTTCGTGGAGTCGAACAATCATAAATTTGTAAAGTTATAAAAAAAAACATCGGCCCCATCACTGAAACATATTTGTTCAAATAACTGTTATTCTGTTTTGAAATTCAAATTCATTCACCTACTTGAACAATGAGCCTTAGATTCACTACAAATTTCAGTATATTAAAAAAAGATTCACTATAAAAATATTATTTGTATATGCAAATACCGATACAATCAACTTAGAAAAGTTTGATTTACGGTACTGTTTGTAAAATGAGACTGGTACGTATCTATATCTAATAACTTTTGTTTTTTAAATTCAAAAAGTTAATCAATATTTTACGTTTCGTATCAATTGAGATGTTATCTATTATCAATTTTGTTATCTTGTATTTTTTAGGCTTCACAATTTTGCTGTTTATTTTGGTTGCTGGTTTAAGTCGCACGTGTAAGTTATTTTTCAACACAAGAAATACCTTGTTGCATTTATCTTGTCGGTTCTTTAAAACGAGATACAGATCAGAAGAGCTAATGAAAACTATGAGTCCAACACTTTGACCACAATAAAAACTACGAACATAGAAATAAATTTCATAAAAACTACGCCAGAAGAGTAGGCAGAATATGCTCGATCATTTATATCTGTCGCGTTGCTCATGCAAAGTCAATTTCCGTTGATCAGCTGCATACATGTGTGTTTAAAATACAAGACAAAGAAGGACGGGATTATAGTTACAGCAAGTGGAACAAATTGGTGGTGATCTGTGACACAAATATTTAAAAAATGTCAACTAAATCATGATGACGATCGTAAAATTTGGAAGTGTTGAATTAAACTTTATTATTAGGGATTCAACAGCTTGATTATAAGAAATTATCAAAGAAATAATACGGTACGTAAGCCGTAGAATAACACGGGAGACATAAAATCTATATACAAGAGATGTTTCTTTTATGCTATATAAAAATAGAAAGTTTACAATATGAAAATGTGAAATTTAATGCATCTCTGATGTCGTAAAATTTGATTTTTTTGTGTTACCCTCAATGTCAATTGCAAAATGTGTTATGAATAAGATATATATGCGGTATGAGTCAATGACAGCAACATAAAGACTTCAATACAAAAAGACAACTAGAAGTCAACGTACTGTACGATTGTAGAATTCTTAGCATCTTTAGTTTTAAGGCATACCTTACAGTCATCAAAATTTCGAATACGATTATCGTATTCAGACTCAGAAAGCAACCAATCAAAATTTGTACTCCGGGTACAGAGGAAATTTGTATGACCGAAAAGTCAAGAGTGTGTAAAGAAGGAGAAAAATATAAAAGACAGACTTGCACAACGAGCAATCATTACAGAGAAAGTGAATAATTTGTGATGCTGATAAGACATTATAAGCAACAGAACAGACAATGATAAAGACTGAGTAAGAAATTCAATACAGTGACTTTTGGATGGACATTCTAACGTACATTAAATGTGTACCATGAAAACAATTCTAACAACTTAAAGTATATACAATCACTCATTTGTTGTCAATATTGTAGGGGTAAATAAACCTTCCCGTAACAACATCATCAAAATAGGATAACAGATATGAATATTTTTCCCGGCAGAACTAAAAAAAAACCAGAGTGATTATCTGGGAAATTGTAAAACTATTAGTATTCCTTGTTGTAGTGAAAGCAAAGTGCCGTAATATGATGGTTTTAAACAAAATATTTTGATAATAATCGTTGCTCTATTTAATGATTACAGATGCGTATCTAGCTTGTGCATATATATAAGAATTTGAATAACATATGTGCATATGCCATGAAATGACGATGTATTCAATACTACTAGTATGTTTCGGTTTTTTGCTTAATTTCCTATTTCTACTTCTTAGATTCCGGCACAGTGTGTTTGTCCTGTAGTGGCGTACAAAGTATAAACCAGTGTACACACTTGGAGACTTGTCGTAATGATGAGGTATAGTTTGTTATCTTGTATGTACGTACTAATATTGAGAGAGTGTAAGAAAGTCTTGGAGACTTGTCGTAATGATGAGGTATAGTTTGTTAACTTGTATGTACTTTCTAATGCAGTATGTAATTAAATTTTTTGATGAAACAAAAGATGTTGCCTATCTGTTTAAAAGTTCATTTGAACCTTAATTATTAAGGTGCGAGTCCTTCAATTGTTGACATTGGTTTTTAATTGTATTATTATTTATTAAATTTCAAAATTAACTCATAGTTCAGCAAAATTTATCAATCTAAAAAATGTTATTAAACTGCAAGTAAATCAAAAATATGAAATCTCGAAAATATACCATTTACAGTTCTTGTAATTCATATTCCTTTGCCTTTTTACTTACCTTTTGAAACGGTAGATATTGCTTCATATTTTCTGATGTACTTCTTTTCTTCTGCATTGAAGTACGGATACAAATTTTTCCGTATTTCTTCCTTTTCCTTCTCTGAAGATGCATTTTTAAGAAAGTCGTGAGTTAAAATGGTAGTTTCCTTCATTCGATACCCCTTTCCATACTTGAGAACGAGGTTGTCTCGGTCATAACTGTACCAATATGAAATCTTGCCTTTTTCTATGCCACATTCTTTTTCGTGGATCTCAGAAAGTTCCTTTATTTCTTCTCCTTTTCTCTTAATGAACACGACATGATCTCTTTCAATCTGAACAGAAAGCCCATACTGTCCCTTTTCGTTTTCCACTGAGATTAAGAAAGGCACCTTGGTGTCTTTGTTGAAAACTAAGGTCCCTTGTCCGTTGACCGGAAACTGTCTTTCCCATGTTTGCCTGTCATTCTCTCTCCGGGCTTGTTTCACTATAATGTCAGTGAAATAGAAATACAATAACAGTTACTAGTCATCTGATCAGTTTAAACATTAAATTTTCATTTTTTATTTTTTGAAAACGTAATGATTTCTAGTCTACTAATCAAATCCACTATATGTGCACATTTTGATCCATTATTAATATAAACAACTCTGTTTGTATTGCTCAATTTTTGTTTTTATTCTATTCAGTAAACACATATATTCTTCTTCAGTCTTTAGACTATTTAAACATTATAGTAGGATTATTACTGCTCATGTTAACGGCGTACAGGTTTGATGATGGTTGTTATTTTAATATAGATGAGATTTAAGATATACAGTTAGTGCTGCTTTATTCCTACATGGAAGATGTATTTTCATGTGTTTTGCGTAGCTTACTGCAATCGTCTGAAGATTTTTTTTTATAGAAAAGTACTGTGGAGCAAATATTCCTTGACATTGGTAAAACTTGATTCCTTATAAAACATTCAAAACATTGTTTTTAGATATTAGTTCATGCAATGCTCTTCAGCAGTCGTTTTTATGCATACACAAAACAACTACGTATATATATATACTACCTTGTTTGAGATTTTCATTAGCTGGTCGTTGTCTCTTAGATGACATGTCTGAAGAACCTCAATACTATAAAGCTGCAATATAAAAGGAATGCAAAAGTAAAATTATGAAATGAATACATGCCACTTGACGTTAAAAGATCCCCTCTTTCCCACTGTCATCCGCTATTCATATAAAATTACTCCTAAAGTTATTGTATAATAACTGAAATAACCACGTTACCAGTTTTTACCAGCCTTTATTCTATCCAGTAATTGACTAACATATGTATTGCATAGAAACGTGGCGATATTGACTGAAAAGAACATAGCTCTTGACTTAAAAGAGCAAAGCTCGTGGCTCAATAGAACATTTATCGTGGCTAAATAATAGCTCATGGCTCAATAGAACATTTATCGTGGCTAAATAATAGCTCATGGCTCAATTTAACATAGCTCGTGTCTCAGTAGTGCATTAGTCGTAACTCAATAGAACATAGCTCATGGCTCAATTGAACATAGCTCGTGTCTCAGTAATTCATTAGTCGTAACTCAATAGAACATAGCTCGTGATGCAATTGAACATAATTAGCTCGTTGCTCAATAGATAAAGACACAACAGAGAATAGTTTGTTACTTTATAGAACATAGCTCGCGGGTCAATATACCTTAGCGCATGGCTCAATAGAACATACCTCGAGGCTCAATTAGACCATATCTCGTGATACCATAGAATAAGCTCATGGCTCAATAGATCACAGTTCGTGGCTCTATAGAACACAGCCTGTTGCTCAATAGAACATAGCTCGTAGCTCAATAGAACATAGCGCATGGCTTAATAGTAATTAGCTCGTAGTTCAATATAAATTAGCTCGTGCATCAATTGAACATAGCTCATGGCTCAATAGAAACATAGCTTATTGCTCAATAGAAAAATGCTCGTGGTTCAATATAACATAGCGCGTGGCTTAAAAGAATATACTTCGTGGCTCAATAGAACATACTAAAAGCTCAGGAGTCAATGGAATTTAGCTTGTAGTTCAATAGCACAGAGCTGGTAAATCAATAGAAAAAAGCTCGTGACACAATAAAACATAGCGAAGGTTTAATAGAGCATAGCTCGTGGCTCAATAAAGCATAGATCGTGGTTCAAGAAAACAAGGAAAATAGCTTATAGATACTTATTCAATCTTAACATGAGAACAAGCGATATCATGTTCTTTCAATCTAGCTGTCTCAATGGTTATATCAAATTAATTCGTCATATGTGACTAGTAGCCATATGATTTCCAGGTTTGTTATAAGTGTACCTAGTCTAAAATGGGCTTATTGCATATTTATCTAGAACATACTGAAAGAAAACATCCTGTCGAAGTTATTATGACAGATTTGTCTGGAATATTTTTATATCTTTCAGTTTCAATAGCGAGGGAATGACCACTAATTCTAAATTTGCATATAAGTTTTCTTGTATCAAGATTAGGGTATGTAAAATAAAATTCTTGTTTATATTCAGTTTTTGTATGCTTAAACAAAAGAAGTTTACTATTTTGATCAAGAGATGATATCTTATTGTCATATATTTCTTTATTTCTATGCTGAAGTTCATTTTTATAGTATTTTTTACTAAGATTCTTACAGGATCTGTATTTGTTTTTAGATTCAATTTGGGTTTGCTAATATTATTGTCGGACCTAATATGGTTTACATATGAGTACCATGCGTATATACATCGATCATGAAGTGACTTTAAAAGAGAATAACACTCTTGAAGTAAAACAGGTGAGTTTTCACTCAAAAGTCGGTCTTCATACAGAGTGACTGTGTGGCAATGAAACAATAAAGGGGGAATCTTCCTAATTCAGATCTAGAGGCAATGTTACTGGCACATTTCTTTATTCCAAGTGTAAATTTACAAAACTTATTGTGAATTTTTTCAGGGGTATTCTTATCTATAAAATTGAATTTATCCAAAGGAGAGTTATTTGTTCTAGCTGTAACAATTGCATTATAGTATGGTCTGTACACATCCATATACCAAATTTCATAATTATATGTAAGAATAGGACAAACCAAAGAATCAAATAAGAACACATATATTTCATTGACACTGACATTTTAAAAGAATACCACAATATTCTATTTTAAAATCCAACCGCTTTTAGTTTGAACTGTAACAGTCAATATTCTTTAAAACTTCATTTTTAATAGCTCAACACATGACTATCTCCAACTATAATATTGAGAATGGAAACAGAGAATGTGTCAAAGAGACAACAACCCGACCAAAGAGCAGAAAACAGCCCAAGGCCACCAATGTATACATTCCCGTTTGAATGGTTTTACACTAGTAATTTTTGGAGCCCTTTATAGCTTACTGTTTGGTGTGAGCCAAGGCTCCGTGTTGAAGACCGTACTGTGACCTATAATGGTTTACTTTTATAAATTTTGACTTGGATGGAGAGTTGCCTCATTGGCACTCATACCACATCTTCTTATATCTATATACATTTAACTGCATGCGGTTGGATTTTAAAATAGAATATTGTGGTATTTTTTTAAATGTTCTTTAATGACATTTTGAAAACTGTAAAACCTGCTTTAAGTGCCAATAAGTAACGATTTGTCGTTTTCGCATGGGCATTTAATTATTTCGTGTCCTACAATGTACTTCCTAATTCAATTCGCTCACGGATTAAGGCCAGCTTTGATACTCTTTTTTTCTTAGACGAATAATTTTTCCATTTAAGTTAGCACAACAGTCTTATTCAGTAAAATTCGGGGTATTTTTATTTAATAACGTTGTCATTTAAAAGATGTTAAAACTAATAATGAAAAACATAGGAAAAGAAGAGATAACCAGGAAGCATTTTCAAAAGAGTTGGATAAAATAAGATACTTGAAAAGACATAAACATCGCAAGGCTACATTCATGATGGTGCATAACTGTATTCTTATTATGTTACACATACATTGCATGGTGAATAAATTGAGAGTGAAGTATCAATATTGATGTTTTTTTGACAATAAAGAATGTTGTGCAGCATTGGTGATTGATACTTGTATTTAAAAAGTATGCTTTGGAAAACATTGATGAACAATTCACCGATAAAAGGAATACAGAATAAAAATTGTGCTTTACTAAACATTTTATGTTTTTTAGACACAGAAGTAAAATATACAGAATGTGAAACTTCATGTTGCCGTTTATGATTTGTTCCTTATTTTTATCTATGAAAGCTTTAAACAATATTTCATATGTAATGCTAAAAAGAATCACCAATCGCAGTCCTTAATTGATCAACAGGTTGTCGACAACGTGGCTCCTTTGATCATATGTGAATAAATCTTTCGAACAATAAAAACTAGTTCAATCTTACCATGAATTCAGGGGGCGAAGAGTAAAAAAGAGTTATGTTAATATGTAATCAGATAGTGAACCTTCAATGGTATTTTTGAACGTAGTGTAAATGTATTAATGCATTTCTTCATTTCAATATATTAAGCGAAAAGACACCAATAATAATAATGAAAAAAATATGTTTACTGACCTTTCAATGACTTTGACGAAGACTGCTCGATATAACTAATAGCCACATGAATTCGCTAAATCTTATATAAAAGATTCTTTTGACATCCTTGTGATGACATAAACAATTGAGGAAATTGTGCTGATATGATTATATCACTAATAAAACCCGCATCCGCATATGTTAATAAAAACGGGAAGCTAATTTTAAATATGGATTTATGATTATGCAACTACAGCATATTGACATAGAAATCTTGTGGAAGTGTAGACAAACTATATTCATTGTAATTCCTTTAAATAATAACAGTTCTGCTTTTTTTGTAAGGACTGCAATCGAGACTCGTTGACTTTTAAGTATATAAAAGGGCTCAAAGTATAACTCTTTCAATAACGCAACAAAATAGGCGATATTTGAAGATCTAGTAGTTTTCTCTCCTCTCAGGCACTGACCTGTGTGTTATTAAAAATAATTTGTTTTTGATTAAAGTCGATGAAAATTGTTTTTCCCCGAGAGAAAAAAAAACTTGCAGCCCCTCCAAAGATGAATATTTGGTGCATAAGAAAAGATTTGAGGCGTGAAGTAGTAAAGGAAAGTATCTTATAAACTTATAACAAGATAAACATTTATTTCAGTTATTTAAAAGTAATCTCGATATTTTCAGTCCTGAATATGCATTGCGATAGGCATTATTCGGAAAACACGATTTTTCCCACAACAAATACACCAAAGAAGACATTATCAAAACGTTGGACTTTTTTATCGACAACATATTTGTTGAGTGTTATGGATTGACATTTCAGCCGACAGTCGGTATTCCAATGGGTACTGTGTGTGCACCAATACTGGACGATTTGTTGTTGTACTCATATGAAGTAGAATCCATACAGATTCTTTTCAAAGACAAAAAGAAAAGGCCTCTTCCAAAGTTCTTCAATTTCACTTTCAGATACATTGATGATGTATAATCACTCAATACCCCACCCCACATTTCAATGAATACTTACATCTCATTTATTCCTGTGAACTTTAATACTTAGGATACTACCGAAAGTAGAAGGTCTGCTTCATATCTTGATCTTTTCCTCGATATTGCCACAGTTGGACGACATCAAACTAGAATCTTTAGCAAACCTTTTGATTTCAACTTTCAAACTGTCAACTTTTTTGTCCCTATTTCTCAGCAGTAAGATATCCGTCGTATAGCGCTTTCATATATCTCAGTAAATACGTTACACTTGTGCATTTTCACAGGAGCTTGCTTCTTACACAAAAACTTCTCCAACAGATATATGAGGAAGAACGTTTGAAATTGACACTACCAAAGACCATCTGGAGTTTAACATAAAGTATTCAACAATAAACAGGTGTATTAAATACACTTTTCAATCGGAATCAGATTTCAGTATTTCATGTATTTGATTTAATTCTACTTATATTATCCTGAAAGATTTTTATCACATATTGTATGATATTCACGAGAATTGGATAGAATGTCACTGGTATATATATTTTTATGAATGGATGATTATGCCTTTCATAAAACAACAAAAATCCTTAATTTCCATTGGTTTCATTATGTTAATTCCTAATACAGATCAGCAACACATAGAACTACCTCCATTTTCATTGTTACATGTAACAAAAAAAGTTTTGCCACTTAAACGGTAAGTTTAAAGTGGTTGTAAATAGATTAGCTCTTAATTACTGTATGTTTTTTTTTTATAAAACTTCATCTGTTATATATTTTATTCAACCTATGGCAACATTTTTTTCATTCGCTATTAAACCTAAATTTCAAAAGTTTGCCATAGGTTGAATAATCCGTATCTAGAGCGAAATATATGTTTTTTTACTCAATGAAACAATGGCCAGCGAATACTAACAAGCAGCAAAGCCGATTTTATAGATGCAATATACAATTCTTGTTTAAACGATTTAGAGGATATCAATTCACTTTTGATGTGGACATTTAGATTTTTTTTAATTTATAATTTGCGAAAACTTTATTTCAATACAAAATGTATTTATCCCGTAACAATTTTCAATATTAAGCTGTCATAAAACCTTTATTTTTAAGGTTTCCAGTATGGACATATCAGAAGCAGTGTCCATGAAATGTAACTTATTTCAAAGACTTTGATTGGACTCTAAAAACTCTAAAACGCTTCTTATCGTTAGATTTATAACTCGGGGGTCTTACAATTTTTAACCGTGCACATCCAATATGTCAATTAATGTGGTAATTGTGACACCATTCAGCTAACAAGACATAATCAAGTTTGGGAAATGTAATTTTGCATAAAAACCCGTATGTTTTGCACACATATTTGAAGAAAGATTGAAATTGCTACGTTTATTTATTGAATATATAGATATGGATACATGTTTCAAGTAAAAAGAAAAAACAATACTTGAAGTCTTATCAAATATATGTCTTCATAATGTCTTTGGAACAAGAATTTTCGGAAATTGTCCTATTTATCTCATTTTGTTTTTTAATCATGTATCTTCTCTCTTCTGTTGTCATATTGAGTAATTGACATTCGTCTTGGTCTGAGTCTTACAAATATTGAACCTATTATCACCTCTGCTACTCCTTGTTCTTTAATATCAGCAACTTGTGTGTTATGTCTTTTGCACTAGCATCAGAAGTTGTTTAATTATCAAGGCCACTGTTTTCGTTATATCTTGTTCTCATTTTTGTAAAAAAAAACAACCCAGTAATTCACTGACATGCCGGTATTTTAAAGCAAGTACACTAAGATCATTTCATTAGGGAATGACCACTTAGCGAAAAATGACTAGTGTAAAACCATTCAAACGGGAAAACCAACGGTCTAATCTATATAAAGAACGAGAAACGAGAAACACTTATGAACCACATCAACAAACGACAACTACTGAACATCAGATTCCTGACTTAGGGCAGGTGCAAACAAATGCAGTGGGTTTAAAAGTTTTAATAGGTACCCAACCTTCACCCTTATCTGAAACAATAGTGTAACATCACAACATAGAAAAACACACTATAAAATATCAATTGAAATGGTATGGAAAGCCTCAGCTGTCATATATTAGAGATTTACAAAACGTTATGCTGAAGCTTAAAATGTAAAGTTAAGACAGCGTGATGTTGAATTGAGTCATCAAAATGCTAACTCTAAATTACAATATGCTAAGTTGAATCTGTGCAATGTTGACTTGCAATGACAAGTGCTTTAGTTGTGATAGTATAATGATAAGTCACGATGTTGTGATGATATGCCAAACACACGTAACGTTGGGTTTAAAGTACATGATGTGAAGTTGACGTTGCATGATGTTAGCTTGCAGATGGATACTGCTCAGTCATCAACATCGACAGCTATGATAACAAATAAAATGAAAAGCTAAAATGTATGGTGCTGACTTGTTATTAATAAATGTTGAGCTGAGAATGTACGATGTTATATCATTGTGATATAACGATTGGTCTATCATGCAATCTGTTGATTTAAACACCATGATGCACAGTTGAAAGTACATGATGTTAAGTTAAGATAACACGATGCTACACCACTATATTGAAACGAAAGGCTTACCATACAATTTGTTGACTTAAAACAACACGATGCAACGTGTTGAGCTAAGATGCTCACTTGAAACTACACGACGTACAGTTGAATTTTGTAGTGTTAAGCTACGATAGCACGATGTTATGTCATTATAATGTCACAATAGGCTTATTATACAATTTGCTCATTTAAAACTACACAACGTACAGTTGAAAGTACGTGATGTTAAGCTAAGATAGCACGTTGTTATATCATTATGACGTCACGAGAGGCTTATCATACAATGTGTTGACTTGAAACTACACGATGTAAATTTGAAGTAGTTTGGTCTTGACTTGAAACAGTAAAATGTTAAGTTATAAAAACAGAACGTAAAGTCAAAATAAAACAATGATAGGATGACATATACTTATGCAGAATTGAAGATTTTTGGTGTTGACTTCGAATATAGTACAAATATTAGATCGTTTTATGTTAAATTGAAAGACAATAACGATGCGTAAAACATTACAGAATTATGTGAATTGAAACAGCAATTCAATGGAAAAAAATGAGGGAAAAATCCCCAGGATTTTTTCTTCTTCATTTGCAAGTTGATGAATATTAATGAAATTTAACTACGGAGTCAAAATGATATACAAAGAAAGTTTAATTTCCATAAATTCATAAAGCAAAAGAAATACCCATCGCTCTATATTACACTTGAATACAGTTTTGCCGTATATTTTACATGTTTTGTTTGGATTTTTTTTTTATGATTAAAAACCAGACTTTTTTTATGAACAATATTAAGAGAAAATATTCATCTATGTTGTGTGTTAATATATACAACATAATATTGTGCTTATAAGACTTATGACTGTGAGGGTCAAATTGTACTCATATAAAATCACATCTATGTTAGAGTTATCGGAGAATTTGTATTTACCACTCCCGTTTTCCACGAAATAGAACATAAGAATCTGGAGTCTTAATCTTAAAAAACAAAGATCAACTGATATGACAAATAATACGCTTAGCGTAGGACTGAGAGGGTCAGAGCTATATCAGAATGTGACCCCCTCCCCCGGGTCTTGTTAGAGGTATCTGAAAATTTGAATTTTCTTTTCCACGAAATAAAACAAAAAGAATTAATAGGTGGAACAATCCTACTGCATGGGGCCAAAAAATCTGGACTCAATCAAAACCGATGCTATTTGGATTTCCATAGATTGTCAGAGACGGTTTGTCAACTAGTTTGTAACAAATTCGGCTAAGCAAGCAAAATATGTCTTGTACAGAGCCAAGATTTATTCATATTCATATCACACTTACATATTCTCGTCCTTATATGCATGTAATATTTGCCACTGTACACTAAATGCAAATACATTTTCATCAATTCTTTTTTATGAAAAGGAGCCTATTTTAAGCACGTTCATCGATTTGACACCCTGTAATTCATGTTTTTGGGAGTTCTTCGAAATTATAACACATTCCTTCTTTATTTGCAAAATTGCCAAGTGATGGGTGCCACATATGAAACAGGATCTGCTTACCCTTCATGAGCACCATGTTTGTGTATTTTT